GAGAGTTCCTCACCCCCAGTATGGGCTGTAAACACTTTGGGGCGAACCACCAGCTCTTCCTCATCTTCTTCACTTTCAGCTGCCACGGCTCCCTCAAGTGGCGATTCTTCTTCCATTGTCCCTCGTCTTTTTTCTTCCTCCATGTCTGGCAAGGCTGTGGCCCTTGCCTGAAGACCTCTTCCACGTCCACCTCTCATTTAGTCATTCTGTCCTCAAAGACTCCTCACAGGCGTTTAAATATCCCACCACTGCCACCAATTGTTACGATGTGAGGTGCAGGTGAAAGAACGATACGTGGAGAGAGGGTTTTCTTGCAAAAAATAAACAGGCGTTTTATTCTTAGCCTTCATCATTATTCCCCAGAAACACAAACTGCATGTCTGGTGCTGCATTCATCACCAGCAAGGAACAAACACAAAAAATGCCCCTTCCCCTCTCTTCCCAACAACATTTATAGGAGACTGCCCGCCTTCCCACTCCAACCTGGCCAATCAGGTCATGGTTCTGAAAGCTGAGTGAAGGGTTAAATACAAAATTAAACACTGTTGTCTACATTTAATAAAACCCTAAAGGCTTAAGTAAATTCATTATTGCATCAACATACATATTATACCTTCAAAAACAACAAGGTCTGCTTAAAATGGATAGTTTTTAACCTAATTGACACTCATAAAATCACACATTTCCTGACCAGTCGCGTCCAAGACTCCGCCTACTCATACGCCACATATAAGGAGTACTTTGGAGGCGTGCTCCCCCTTTGAGCAGTGGCAGATGGCTTCCAGGTTTGAACAAAGAAAATGGTGATTACTTTGTGATTGTGTGTTTTAAAGACTGATACATTTATTTAGATGCATTTTATTAATTTGTCTATATAAACTGTTTTATAACTTTAACTGAAATAAAGACAACTCTGAAGAAACATGTACTGCCTTTCTTAACAAACAAATGGTTAAGCCAAAATGTTAGTGAGGGAGTGTGTGCGCTTCCTCACTCTGTTGTTAATTTATTCTTTGAGGTTTTAATAAAGCTGGTTTAGAAAGAATTCCTAACATAAAAGTATTCTTCTGCGAAAAGCTATGCACATGCACAGTTCGCCTCCCATTTATAATAAATGAAAGCCATCCTGTGGAATAAATCTTGGCATTATCTGGCCCCTTGATGGGATGACTTTAAGCATCTCTGAAAATCCCTACATACCAGCATATCCTTAAGATCTTAAACCAGTGGGATCAAATCAATTATTGACCAACTGTCAAATTTGTATCAATAATTGAGCGTTTTGCACAGGTGAATCCTACATACACAAGAATGGCAGTAGCCAAACAGTGATTACATCAGCCCAAATGATAAACACTAGCTGTGTCTAAACATGGAAGTCCCATTATAGTTCGCTATGTGAATCATGAAGCCCCATGTCTTGCTTTTAGACTCAAAGCCAAACACTTTTATCTTTCATCCATGATTTAAAATAAACTTTTCTTTATCTGCATGTTTACCAAACACTTTGATGGCCCAGTGTACTGCAATATGAGCAATACTTAGTTTGTACAATTTGCTTGACTTAAATATAAACAGTGTTGACAATGTTGTTTTAGTATAATGCGGTATGTCTAGTGCGGTAAAATTATGTAAAAATGTACACTGGTCTGATTTTACACTAATCTTGCTAACATGTTCTCAATAAGCTTGCTCAAATGCTGCTAGTACAGGAAAGATGTGTATATTGTTCACCATCTTAGTTTGAGTGTAGTTTAAGCAGGTTGCTGTTGTTAATAAGCACAATGTACAGCTGAGGTTGATGGGTAAACCTTAGGTTGAGCAGGTACTTGGTCAGGTATTTCCACCTAGCAAACATTGGGTCTCAAAGTGAAGCAAATAGAGAGGTAAAATAAAGAAACGTGTTGCAAAAATAATTGAGTCAAGCCTTCTTCAACACAAAAAAGACACTCATTTAGTAAATGATAGTCCCATTTAGAGTAAAATAAATAAAAATCATCATAAGCTTTAAGGTGTTGCCTCTTTTTGATTGACAGGTGGTACCAAAGTGTTGTCCCGTGACCGTCTTGAGTGTTTGCTTTGTTTTTCTTCTTACAACTTAATAGTAAGAAGCCATTTCACAGTATTTGAAGTTCATGAAAGGAAATTGTAACATTTATGTTGCCTAAGATGCTTGGTCTGCCCATTTGTCTCACAAAAAAGCGGGCCACAAACCATGAGTAACCATTTAAAACATCCACTTCTTATACAGCATGAGTATTACATGGCAATCCATCAAATAGTCACTAACATTTCACACAGAACAAAATGTTAACTGTTAACTTTCGTAAATCATTGTAATTGCTGTCAACACTGACCCTAACCAAGCTACATTTACATTCCTAAATCCAGAATAAAAACACACTACAAAGCCTACATGAAACAAAACAAGGCTTGTATGTGCACCAGTGAGTTGTTTAAAGGCCCTGACACACCAGGCAGTCACCAGAGAACTCGCCGACGCCGACTGTTGCGTCGGCGTGTTCTCCTGCGTCTTGGCCATGTGTCGCACTGGAACACACCGCAAAGACTTCAGCCAAGCACGTACGAACTGGCGCATGCGTGAGTGGCAATAACTCTCCTTACCAAGCAGGCGGCGGTAGTGTGTATTCGTCATTCAAAAGAGCAACAACCGGAAGACCAGAAGAAGAACAGACTGCGTGATCTATAAACAAACAACAAATAGCGTGTGCGTTCCATTTTCACTCTCATCATTCGAAAACATGTTTCGTGCGGTACTGGAGGCTATCAGCCATTGGAAGTCGAAGACATTCTCAAGCAACCGTCTTCGCTCTCATCGCACTGATTCGGCTAGCTGAACAAGCCAATTCAGAGTGATTTCTTTGGTCTGACTGCCTGTGGCCGACCACGGCCGACATGTTGAATCGGCGTGCGTCGGCGCATAAGAACGCCAAAATAAAGGCCCGGAACACACCAATCTGACAACAAAGACTGACACCAGCCGGACCCGACAGTTTGCGTCCGTTCGCGTGATAACCGAGAGAAGAAACAGACTGCCGTGAATATAAACAAACAA